CATCTACTCTCTAAAAATTTGAAAATTTTAATAATTGATTAACATCTCTTTTATTAAATTTTTAAAGCATATATATATTCGAAGTATGATAAGCGCTATTTTCTGTCTCGAAAGTAAAAGTTATTATCTTCTTCTTTTAAATAAAAAGAAATATCGGATTTTCTTTCTATTCTAACAGAAAGAATTTTTCTATCTCATTTTAATAACTAATTAGTATCTCTTCTTTTTTACAAAGAATATAGAACTGATTTAATATGTGAGAGTGCAAGAAAAAAATTTATATACAGTACAAATTAGAATTCTGCGAAGTTGAAGGAATCTCATCGTGCATTGTGAGTCGTGGAAGTGTTTCTTAAGCAGGGACAAATGCCGTCCGTGAAATGTTATGTCTTTTTCCCATCAATGAAACATTATTTAAAATGTCTAGCGGTGTTGTTGATACCGAGTACACCTTTCATCGTCGGCGAGTCGAGTTGTAGAATAAATTCTTATGCCGTTTTTATATTCGGAACGCGCGATTTCTTTGAAAACAGCCACGAGAAATAACGGTTTGCGATGCCAATGCAATGAGAATATTTAAGAATATATTTTTCTTTTAATTCTTGAAAAGTGTGGAAGATTAAAAGTAAAATGCATATAAAAATCTCTTCAAATTTCTCTAAAATGTTCTCAAAATATTTCTATTCAATTACTTCTTAGCAAATAATCCGGAGTAATGTTTTTACTCACATTATTATTTCTTATAAAAGTATTGTAAAAATATAATAATATTAAATATTTTGAAATAATATTTCCTGTTTTCTCCGGAAGGTATTCCCTATATCATATGCAGAGATATCGATTCCAAGAGTGCATACATATCTCAAATGCATATATGCATTCACCTACTTTAACAGCGAAAGGGTTAAGGTCGTCGCCTCACTCTACAAGTCTACATATATAAAGGTGAATCGATCAAATCTCACTGCGGTATCATTGAGACAGGGAAAGTTAAGCATTTAATCGAGCTGTAGAAACCTCGACTTTCGACCTCGTGCAAGTCACAGTACATTTTGCGATAGGAATTTCTCGATAAAGTATAAATGTATTTTCTCTTGGCAACTTTTCTATCTTATCCCAAACGTATACAATTCGAAATTAATAATACAGAGATATGCCCGAGTATGATATTGAGAAATGCGTATAATACGAAGGAATTAAAGTCTGAAAAACAAGAAATAACAAAAATTATTTGAAGAATTGATTTGCATTATTTGTTGAAAATTAAATTTATTAAATTAATTTAAAGGAATTAATAAATTAAATTTATTAAATTTAATAGATATGAATTTAATAAATTATTTAAATTTATTAAATAATTTATTAAATTAATCTATTCGATTAATTTATTAAATTAATCAATAGTATACTCAATGCAGGATGAAATAGACAATCAGTTGGAGTACCGGATGTCACGTTGACTTCCGAGCTCTTTAAATTAGTTATAGGATTTAAGCAGTTAATTGAGATGTGAGTTTTCGGTCTACGACCTGACTCGAGGGTCAACCCGGGGGTCCGATTTCGAAGCCCCTCCAAAGAACTTCCTGTGAATCTCTGTAGGAAATTTCTCGAGAGAATAGCGAATCTCTCCAATGGGGATATTTTCGACTGTGTCTGATGTACAGGAAATGTCGAATAGATAACAACCGCCAACCTACGCAAAACACATCCGAGCATTATTATCGCGTGTCGCCGAATTAAAACCGCAGTGCATAGTATATTTAGCTCTGCCTACGATGTAGCGGCCCTCGCTGATGAATATATTGATTAGAAGAAAAAATATTTTGATTCTTCTCGATCCTAAGAAGAAGGCATTACGTTTTATCGCGGATCACTGATAAACTGTAGCTGGAAAAAGTTGATAGGCGTTTATTATTGTTTTCTCTAAAATGAAAAAATGCCATCTTTTATTGCATACGAAATGGCAAATATTAAATCTATTAATTTAATTAATAAATTAAATTTATTAAATTTAATAGATATAAATTTAATAAATTATTCAAATTTATTAAATAATTTATTAATCTATTCGATTAATTTATTAAATTAAATCTAGATTAGTCGACATAAAAATTACGAAAACATTAACAAGAATTTTATAGTACATTTAATTAAGTAATAATTATTCAGGTGATATCAGAGACAATGTTTACCGATGATCTTAATATACTTTACATTAAAGTTCTCGCATATCATTCTATATCTTACGTAATGTTTTACTTCGCAAGTGCAACATCACTTTGCATTAGATACTTAAATACTACGATCTCGAACGACTTTTCCTCTCTCTGTTTAAATACCCGCGAGGTGAAAACCTTTCAATAACGGCACGAGAGTCGCTCGTAGCACGCACGTGCGTATCCTGCGTGCATGCTGCGATACGTCATCCGGAAGGACCGATAATTATTGTTCGTTTATGTCGCGCGTTTGTCCAAGAAGTTGTCCTTGTCTTTTCGCTGCTAAACCGGTTGCGTTTGTAACCTCAGGCCTCGATAAATCGTAGGAGTACGACGACGTATTTTCTCCGAAATATCTGCGTTCCTCGTCTCGATATCCACAGGCTTTAGATTAATATCTAATACTCTTCGAGCAGTGAATCATGATATTCCCGTAAACTTTCTGAAAATTTCCTCATTTAATATTTTATTTAAATTTTTCATGCATAATATTCTTTAGGGATTAATAATGATTATCCTAAGATATATCTGTATAATCTCAATTTTTTATTTTTGTTCGTGAATTTAATTTTATTAATTTTTTTAAATTTTCTTTTAATTTTTTTAAATTTTCTTTAGTTTGTCGTACTTTCAAATTTCCTATGAGCTCTCGCGAAAGAATGAGTAATGTCCTTGGACTCAGCGACATTCTATCCATGATCTGTCCCGCTGGTTAGAACGCGTTTTAAAGATTTATTGATGGAAAACACGAGGAGAGAAGAAGAGAGAGAGAGAAAGAGAGATATAATTTTCCGATAAAGGAGCGTCGAGAAAGGAGAAAATCGCAGAGACGTGGAGAATCGCATGCTCGGTCATTACGAAACCGCGAACGTCGAGAGATTCGTGACGTGCATTTCTTCGAGAGAAGAAACGCAAGCTGCGCCAAGAGGGCAGACGACCTCGGGGTCCCTGCCGGCCTCCTGCCGCGTCCCCCCCCCGCCATGGTTCCCGGTATCTACGCCCTTTGTGTCTCGGAGTAGGTAGGTATTTCGGAGTCAACCTGGTAGCAGGTTTGACAACGCGGCCGAAGAAGCGAGTAGGAGTCTTGGTGTTCAGGTACCTTCGCAGGTACTGCAAGGATGGATATGAAAAAGGAGCAAAAAATATCTATTTTTTTAAAAATTGTTTTTTGATAAAAGATGATGATTTTTTAAAAGCCAGACGTAAACTACGAGGAAATTATAGTTAATATTCAATATTATTATACAAATTATATTGGTGTATGAATTTTATTGTATAAATTATTGTATAAATTATTATACCAATTATATTTTTGGCATTTGATTACTTAGTTTGCGACGTGTGTGTGTGTAATATCGATGTAATACCCAACGACTACAACTTTTTATGGCTTTTGTAATCATTTTGTTATCATAAAAGACGCACGTGATCGAATGATTAGGAGGTGATGATAGCGCACAGCGGGATGTTGTCAGATTAACTAGGTAATCTTGCGAGACGTCACTTGAGGGGGATCTTCTATTTGCAAGTGAGAATCCGTAAAGAGAGTGTAATGATATTCGCAAGAGAAATTGTACGCTGGGTCATAGACAACAAAGCTTATTAATGCAAAATATCGCGTACAATTGCATAAATTAACAAGCGATATATTTTAATCTAAAATAATTTAATTATAATTTATTCTTAAATAATTTCTAATATAATTTAATCTAAAATATATTTTAAGCTCGATCGAACTGATTCGTATATAATAGTTAAACTTTCTCTTATCCACATATCACCTATTATCTATAATTATCTATATCTATGTTATCTATTATTTTTATTCATATTATTTGGATTACATATATTATAAATGAAGTAGACAGTATGAACAATTTAATGTAGATGTAATATGTTAATTATACAAAAATATATACAGATTAAATACTATTTTATGCTCTTTAAATTGTACACCATATTTAAAAAGACACTTTACTTAAAGAGATATTTCATTATTCATTGAATAAATCGTTGAAAAAATTGATAATGATTGTTATGTCAGCGATATCATTGCAGAATAAGCTTACAATCGTGCGAGTCTATTGATTCTAAAGTGTTTGTCGTTAACGACACACATTTTGTGCCCGAGGACAATAAATCTCATGACATAAAAAAGAATGATTTATGTCCATTTAATTATATGCGTGTGTATTCCAGGCACGTAAAAATAAGCAGCTCTAATATGCTTATTAAGTTGATAACATATATAGCTTGAGTATTTAACAGTCGCAGGTGCATATATATAAGCGAATGCGACTGTCTCTTTTGCGTCGTATAAAGGAATATTTAATTTTATTTAATTAAGAGAAGCCAAGAGAGAGAAAGTTTTATTTAAACATTTTATAGTATTGTATATAAAATATACATAGAGAAATTTATGTATATAAATATATATATATATATATATATATTTATATATTTTAATATTATATATATACATAAATATTTATGATAGAATATTTCTAGAAAAATACATTTATACATGTTTACAATAATATGATATTTATTTTGCATTTGATAAAAATACTATGATATATAAAATAATCATAAAAATATACGATCTTCTAAAAAATATTTTTCATCCGAAGGATTGAATTTTACACAAATTCCATTAAAAAATAATAAAGCTAAACCTTGAAATGTTAAATACGTTGATTATCGCCATAGTCGGCTTCGGCTTATCATTGTTGATACTTTTCGATTGCGATGACGCGGGCAAAGCAATTAAAAAAAGACACTCACCTGTTGAAGGTCTGCTCGTATTGCTTGATTTCGCGACGTGACAACTCGTGGAACTCGGTGTAAACGTTTACGAACTTGTACTGCTTCTTCACCTCTTTACCCTCTTCGAGCTCGTTGTTGATCCTTTGCCGTCTGTTGAGCAGGTTGCTGAGTTCGGCGTCTGCTGGCATGATTCTTGATTTTCGATTGCCGATTTAAATCTTGAGAACAAGTCGCTAAGGATTCTCGTGATAGCGCGAATTAAATTTCTCTCCGAGCTTATCGAAAACTTGAAACGCGATTTAATAAAACCGGATAAGAGAGAGAATTGTAAAATACGATGGGCGGGATAGAGATGTATACCTCTGGAAAAATGTGATTCGCACGCCGCGGCGAGTCCGCATGTACTGACGCGGCGCCGAGCGTAGGAGAGACTAGTAGTCGCGCCAACAGGCAGTGCCGTAGCCATCTTGTCGGGGTCTCCGCGGCAAATCTCTTCTTTTCAATTTATTTGAATTTCTAAATTTGATTTCTTTTTTTCGCGCTTTTAAAAGCATCCCCGATCTCAGAGATTCAGACATTTCATTTCGAAAATAAATTATTTCTATTTATAATATTATTATTTATATTCTATATTATTATTTCTACTTATAATTGTGTCGAACTTTTCAACGCAAGAATTTTCGCAATTTTCATCTTAGACATATGCGATAAATTTCTCTGACTTAATATCCCTGGGAAAAAAATTTATATATATAATTATGCATACATATAAATATATAAAATTACATATAAAATGTGTCTATATATATTTTAATTTTCTTATATCATCTCTATCTCTAAAATAAATAAACGAAAAAGTAATATGAAAAGTAGGTGGACTTTTTACTGAGACATTATATGCTTAAATTAGCGCTATTAAAGTAGATAATTGTTGTATACAAATCATATCTCTTTTTTTCTTTAAAAATATTTTTTAGGCAAATATTTATTATAAAATACAATTATAATTTATGTTATTATTTTTGTATGTTTTTCTGATTGTGAAAATGGCCGATTGATGATGGCTAGAAATGATGTTGAGAAATTAAAATAGGAGAAACTATAATATAGAAGAATTATAATAAAATAATAAAGAGTAGTAACATAACAAAATAACAAAGCAAAATTTTATTCACATGTTTGACGCTCTTGTGAAACGACGTCATTCGGTTGTTATAACATCTGACGCCATCGAGGACTCAAAATCGATATATACAGACGTCTGGCATTCGTATTTTCTCTTTTGTCGTCAAAAGCATGCCAACCGTGAAACTATATCATTTGCAGCTACATTATTATTATACATGCAGTTATGGGTCATGAATATAATACCGGAAAAATGACAAACGAGAACAACGAGGATGATATTATTTTATATAGTCTTGTTGGATTTCTAAAAAAAATGTAATATTATAAAATCAATATTAAAGGTCAATATAATATAAATTTGGGGGGAGGGATATATAAAGAGATATATTTTATTATATTACAAATTTAATATATATTTTTTTAAGTTCGAGAAAGAAAATTAAAATTAAAATTGGCTTTCTTCTATGATGTAAATAGTTAAAATTTTACCGACAGTCGGAAATTATGGATTCTTTGTTATAATTATTTTGAAACTTGTAAAGGTGTGCTATCAAAGTGAAGCCTGAGAGCGGTTATCTAGACGTTTTTCGTGGAATGCTTACTAAGCTTTATTTAATACCGCCATCTACACAGCCTTATAAGTTAGGTATATGTAGTCACAATCATTGTTCAAAACTATCGGTAAAAGTTCGTTTCGATCATAATATATTCATAAATTAGAAATATATCTCATGTGTAAATTTAATTATATATTTTATTAGTTGCTCATGATTTTTTTTTATTCTAGCAAATACTATGCATATATATGGTTTGAAATACTTTTGTATTTATATAATATCTTATATATATATGTGTATATCTTATGTATATATATATATATATATATATATATATATATATATGTATATATATATATATGTATATATATGTATATGTGTGCATTTTATATGTATTTCTTGATGTACAGAATATATAAAGAAAAAAAAATCTTAATAAATTTAATTATTTTTGATAAAACAATTTCAAAGATTAAAATAGTTTTTTTTAATAAAAATAAAATAAAATATATATATATATATATATATATATATATATATTTTGTATAGAAAATTTAGTATAATTTTCTACATTAAATTTTTTACAATAAAAAGAATAAATTCTATTATATGCATATAAAGTGTAAAAGATAAAAAATTAAGTGAATTTTTTAATTCTTGTAATAAAAGCATCAAGTTTATTAACTTATTTATTTTTGATGAACTTATCGCACTACTTATCTTGCTCTTATTTGTCACAAAGTGAATTTATGTTTCACACATAGAGCAATTTAATCTCTTAATTATTATTTATTTTAATTATCCACATTAAGAAGAATTTACTTTTTAAATTTATATTGTTAAGGCTGTGATAGATATTTGTAAGGAAATTAATAGAGACACAATCTGTTTGTGAAATTTTAATGATATGTGATTAATATAAAATATGATACATCGTTCGGTATAATAACATTAATGTAAAAAATAATATAAAAAAAGACTTTACTTTTGTTTGTAAACGTTTTATTTCAGCATGTCGCATAATGAAATATTTTAACCAAAATTTTATTTATTAAAATATAAAGTTAATATTTCTATATATAATATTTATTAAAATTTAAAGTTAATATTTCACGTCAAATTTTACATGATTCTTCAATAGGCTACGTGTCATATTTATTATAACTCAATAATACACATGTATTATATAAAATAATAATAATGTATTATATAAAATGTTTATTTAAATCTTTATTAAATAAACTTTTTTTTATTTTTATAAGCATCTTTCATAAATAAAAATAAACTTGTGGATTAGAAATAAATTTATATATAGATTCTACAAATAATAAAAAAATAATAACAAATAATAAATTATAATCTACATAATTTTATATAGCACAATATATTTATGCAGTTTTTTATTTTCCTAATTTTGTGCAGAAATTAATATTCTGTGTACAAATAAATATAATATAAATAAATATAAATATAAATAAATATAAAGTATGCATAAATAAATGTATTTATATATTAATAAAGTTAGTTATTTTTTCTCCAAAAATTATTAATTTAGTATTATATTTTGCATATACATTATTGTAATGTATAAAAAGAATCTCTATATACTTACTTAGATTTGATTTTTGAGCTCAAAATAAATTTGCCCTTGCATCCTACACTTGTAGAATACTTTGTGTAAGTAGAACATTTTATTTCATATATTTACATATTTAAGAACTAAAGGCAACGGACGGTTTGTAATTGTAAAATGAAAAGAAATATTACTCGATGTAATTTTGCTGTCTCTCCGATCTAATTGTAAATTTTTCCTCCTATTCAATTTTTTCCGAACTATTATAAATAATTATGTTACAACTTGTAAGAGCAACTTTAAATGAATAATTTGTTTAGCTGCAATGTGTAGAGATAATTTTTATATAACATGCAGAACATTGTAATGTGATGGCTGCGCGTACGGGATAATAATGTACCATTAATAGTATATCTATGTCTCGTTGTATAGAAATTTTTATCATAAGAAAAGTAAGCAATGAATATACGTGTAGAAGAAAATGCGTTATATTAGAAAATTATTGTCGTTAACGTATACAAGTCGTCTCTTTCGATCGCTCCTTTGCTGCGAGAACCCATCTTTATTTTTGATTTTTAATATTTTGAAAATTTTTTCCTCTTAAGACAAAAATATTTTTTTACAATAATAAATATTATACAATTTTTTTAAAATAAAAAAGCTATTATTAAAAAACTTGGTATATTCATGATAATTGAGGTAGGGAGCTGTCGCAGGCAAGAATAATGCATATACTTCCGATGCCATTTGCTTTGTTCACTTATAGTGGTTATTGGCGACCGGTGCATTTTCCTGTCAATTCATTGAAATATCGGATGTATAATATTTACTCCGCATTTATGTTTCTTTTACTGCAGTTGTTCGTATTCTACGGTATAGTTGACACTTTTATTTTATCGGCGAGCTTACCGGAATTCGTGAACAAATGTTATCTGTTTCTTACAATCTTGGGCGTGTCCTGCAAAGTCATTCATGTCTTTATATGTCGTGGAAAGATCATCGAATTGGACAAGATGCTATTGGAAGATAATTGTGTTCCCAGAAATATAGAAGAGATATTGATCCGAGAAAAATTTGATCGATACATAAGGTATATAATTATTAAATAGATTAGCAAAATTTTTTATTAATTATAAATAATTTTCATTTACATATTGCCGGACGAATCAATTTTTTCTTTATCGTTTTTTTCATTCTTACTTTTATTCACAAAATAATTTTTTTAAATCTCATACATTATTTACTCTGACTGGAATATTTTTTCGATTTTTCCTCTCCTTTCTTTATTTTATAATAATTGTCTTCCTTGAAATAAGGCGTTATTGTGTAATACACAATGTTTAAATTTAAAAAAAAATGTGTTTTGTAATTTTTAATTAATTTAAAATTTTAATTTTATAAAATATTTGCTTTCAAAAATTTAAGAAAACTTGACCTTACGATATCGACCTACCTTCACACTTATTCCAGAATGTTAAAAATTATCGTACATCCTATATACATATGTATTTATAAATATATCTTTTAGATTTATTTTAATAGATAATTTATAAATTTATAGCCGGCTTACAATCGCCTGTGAAATCTTCAATGAGAGCAGCGCAATGTTCGGAACTCTTGCTCAATTTTATATACTTTTAAAGACACGCAGCTTGCCTGTGTATAATTGGGCGCCTTTCGATTTATCATCAATATATGTCTTCTTGCCTATGTTGATATTCCAATGTGTGGCTTTGATGTTATGCGCAAATTCCAGTGTCGCACACGAGACTCTAACTTCTGGTATGATGATCCAAATCTGCGCTCAATTCGAAATTCTGTGTCATCGCGCTCGTATATTGCCGACGTTGCTGATGGAAGCGGAGAAGAATAGTAAGTCAGACGAAGACCTGATAACACGAGAGAAAACTATCATTCGCGATCTGATATATCATCATCTATACGTTTATAAGTGAGTATTTAAATTAAGAGATAGAAATGAGAATTTTAATCCTTCATAATTATAAATTTGTTAGTTTTTCAACAATAAAAATATGCAAAAAGAGTTATGATTTTTTAAATAGTTTTTGTTAATTATTTTTTTACGAGATTAATAACTATCAAGTTTATCGATAAGTAATATCGAGCTATTTAATTTATTCACTTATTTTAATTAGTTTACTTATACATGTTATACATAATTTTTTTATACATGGAATAAATTATTTAATAATATATAGAAATAATAATAGAAACTCATTAAAAATATGCAGATTTGCACACATGGTTAATGCAACTTTTACAACGATGATGTTCATTCAATTTTCCATCATCTCCTTAGTCCTCTGCATGAGTGTTTACAAACTATCTACAATTACGTCATTATTTACCCTCAACTTTGCACACAAATTTTCTTATCTGTGCTCTATGCTAGTGCAAATATTTCTTTATTGCTGGTTTGGCAATGAGGTGATATTAAAGGTAAAAATTTGTTGAGATTTTTAAATTGATGCATAACTGCATCTATCTTTATTTATCTATTCTTTTTTATTCTTTTAGTATAGGAAGACATAATGCTATCAATTCTCAATTAGAATATATTTTTCAAATTAAAGTTATTATAAAATATACAATTACTCACTTACAATTACTCACTATTGATATATTCTAAATTTTAATATTTTCTATCTTATATTTAATTATTAATTAAAGTAAATACCATTTTTATTATCAATGAAAAAAAAATATTTATTCTTTTATTTATCTTAATTCTTTTATTATTCTAAACACAAATTCACTTCTTCTTTACACAAATGATTAAATTATCTAGCAGTAGATATGTCTTAGTTTTCCAAATTTATTTCTAAATGCATAATAATTAGTACTTTAATAAGTATGTAAAATTGAACATTAAACAATAAATACTTAGCAATAAAAGAGAGAAGAAAATAAAGAAGATGATTTCAGAAATAATATTACGTCAAAATTATTATTGGTATCATTTAATAATGATTGTTTTAATTAATTTTTCATAGAGTATCGACGTCAGCACTGCTATTTATGAGATGGATTTTACGAAATTAAGAGTCCGAGTAATGAAAGATCTTATGATAATAATGATGCGTGCCAGCAAACCTGTCAAAATATCGACTGGCTACATAGTTACCTTAAGCACTGAATCCTTTATGAGCGTTAGTATTCAACATTATAAAATTAATATTAAAATTCTAGCAGTGGCAATTTAATAAGTGAGTCATCTCTTTTGTGCAGATTCTCAAAATATCCTATTCGACGTATAATTTCTTAAAAGACTCTTAAATAAAACCAAAATACCAGATCGCCTGCACAGAGTTTCACGTATTATAATTTCTTCACGTATATTCACGTATATCGTCTACATTTAAATACTCATGTGTTCTCTAACAAGATAAAAATAAATAATCAATTGTACAATCATTCAACTTTAATCATGCCATTTTTTCAGAAATTTTAAGACGCATATCTATCCTTCATTTATATTTTAATTCAATTTAATTAATTAAATTTAAAATAATTTTTATTAAATTAAATTAAATTAAATTATTAAATTAAATTAAAAAATTTTAATTAAATTAAAATTTTTTAATTATAAATAATATATAATAAGATGTGTATATTGCACTATTTCTCTCTTATGTTTTTTTATATAATAACTAATATAAAATTGCGAAAGAATTTAGTCCTAAAATAATTTAACAACAATTTAACATATTGTATAAGAAGTGCTACACGCGATAAAGAATCGAGGATATAAACAAATTTAGGATAAATCCATTAAAAAGAATTAATCTTTATATGGCTTTAGCATCTGTATTTGAGAACAAACTAATATCTCTATCTTTTTTCTTCCTCCAAACCCTACAACTTTTATCTGAAACATTTTCCACGAAAATGCGTTATTTAAGAAATATTCGCGGTAATTAAAATGAGACACTCTGTTTATGTGTATATTATATTTACTTGAATTTCATTTTAGATCGCAAAAAAACTTTTTTACACTGTATATTACATTTGTAGAATAAATTCTTCTGTGTAGAACATTTTCATTTATATTAAGAACTAAAATATATATTATGATGACAAAGATAATTTGTGTTTGTAAAATGAAAACAATGATAAAATTTCGTTCTTTTTCTTCTAAATTCTTTCCTCAATCTCATTTTTTCTAAACTATTATAACTATAAATAATTATAGGAAGTAACTTTATAGTTGAATAATTTCTTTAACTGCAATGTGCAACAGTAGATATAATTGTTATATATTATATAGGAGATTGTAATGTCTGCGCGTATGGGATAATAATATACTATTAGTAATATACGTATTCTTAGTGTATTTCGCAATATCTAGTATTAGTATCTACTATTAGCATATCTCTCGCTGTATTATTATTGAAATTATTATCGTGGGAGACATAAATGATAAATATACACGTGGGAGGAAAGTCCATTGTATTGGAAAATTATTGTAACGTATAGAAATCGCCTCTTTCAACCGTCTCTTTGCTGCGAGAAATTCTTTTCTTTCTGACTTTTAATATTCTGAAAATTTTTCCGTATTGAGACAAAAGTATTTACCTACAATAACAACGATACAATTTCTTTTGAAAGCTATTATTAAAAAAACAAACTTGATATATGCAATGATAATCGAACAATAGAGAGTTGCTATAGACTAGAATAATGCATATACTTCCAGTATCATTTGCTCTGTTATCTTATACCGGTTATTGGCGACCAGTGCATTTTCCTGTCAATTCATTGAAATATTGGATGTACAATACTTATTCGGTTTTTATGTTTATTTTACTGCAGTCGTTCGTGTTTTGTGGTATAGTTGACACTTTTGTTTTATCGGCGAGCCTGGAGGAATTTATAGATAAATGTTATATATTTCTAACTATTTTTGGCATTTTCTGCAAAGTTATGCATCTCTTCATACGTCGGAAGAAGATCATTGATTTGGACAAGATGTTATTGAAGGATAATTGTATTCCTCGAGATATAGAAGAGACACTGATAAAAAAGAAATTTGATCGGCACGTAAGGTATGTAATTATTAATTACATTATGACGAAATTAATTATTAATTGCGAATAATTGTCACTCATTTACATGTTATCGGACAAAACGAACGAATTTTTTTTGTCTTTTTCACTTTTGCTTTTATTTATAAAATAATTTCTTAAAAGCATAATCATACATAATTTATTTTGACTGGAAGATAATTCTTTCGATTCTCTCTTTTCTCTCTTTCTTTCTTCATCTTATAATAATTATTTTCTTTGCTATAATAAAGCGATATTACACATAGTATTATATTATATATTATAATACACAAAGTTAAATTAAAGAAATATATTTTAGGTAATTTTCAAGTAATTTATATAAATATTTATTTTCAATAACGTAAGAGAGAAAATTTAGTCCATATCTATTTACAAATTTTGTTAGATTTATTGTAATAGATAATTTATAAATTTATAGACAGCTTACAATCGGCTGCGAGATCCTTAATGAGTTCACTGCAATATTCGCGACTTTCGCGCAATTTTACACATTTTTGAAGATGCGCAACTTGCCTGTGTTCAACTGGGCGCCTTTCGATCTTTCATCAATATATGTTTTCTTACCTACGTTGATATTCCAATGTGTGGCTTTGATGTTATGCGCAAATTCCAGTGTCGCACACGAGACTCTAATTGCCGGTATGATGATCCAGGCCTGCGCTCAATTCGAAATTTTGTGCCATCGCGCTCATATATTGCCAGCATTGTTGATGAATGCTGAGAAGAAAAGTAAATCAGACGAAGATCTGGCAGCACGCGAGAAGACACTCATTCGCGATCTAATATATCATCATTTGTACATTTATAAGTGAGTGGCAATTAAAAAGATAGAAATTGTAATTAAACAGATAGAAATAAAAATTTTAAGAAATTCTTTACAATTATAACAATTTTTAGTTTTTTAATGATAAAAATATTCAAAGAGAGTCATTTTTCAAAATAATTTATTAATTAATTTTTTACTCGATTAATAACTAAAGTTTATCCAATGCTATCATGCTAATTTTTCCATTTGTTTTAATTAATTTACTTAACTCTATGTACAGAATAAATTAATTAAGTTATAGAAATAATAACAGAAATTCTATTATATATGTAAAACTGCAGATTTGCGCATACAGTTAATGCAGCTTTTACCATGATGATATTCGTCCAATTTTCCCTCATCTCTTTAGTTCTCTGCATGAGCGTCTACAAACTATCTACAATAACATCATTATTTACCCTTGACTTTGCACACACATTTTCTTATCTCTGCTCCATGCTCATGCAAATATTTCTTTATTGCTGGTATGGCAACGAGGTGACATTAAAGGTAGAAGCTTGCATTTTTAGACTGTTGATATAACCACATGTATGTTTATTTTCTATGTTTTTTAAAACGCACAGGAAGACATAGTTGTATCAGTACTCAATTAGAACATATTTTAAATTAAATTATGAAATATAATAATTATTTATCAGTGATGTTGTCATTCTTAATACTTTTTTTTAATTATTACAAATTCATTTTTCTTTAATAATTACAAATTTATTTTTTCCTCAGAGAAACGATTGAGTTATCTAGTAATAAATATTCCTTAATATTTCAAACTCATTTGTTTTATGCTAATTGCCTATATTTAATTAGTAATAACTGTTTAATTAATATATAAGATTGGACATTAAGCAAATATTTAATAGCTAAAAGAGGAGAGGAAATGATTTCAGAAATAATATTACGCCAAAATTATTATTGGTACATTAGTTATTTAATAATGATTGTCTTAATTATTTTCTCATAGAGTATCGACGTCAGCACTGCTATTTATGAGATGGATTGGACGACATTAAGAGTTCGAGTAATGAAAGATCTTATGGTAATAATGATGCGTGCCGGCACACCTGTTAAAATGTCAAGTGGCTACATAGTTATATTAAGCACCGAATCCTTTATGAGCGTTAGTTATCGAAATTAGATAAAATTATTATTAAAATTCTAATATTGATTATATAATGGGCGATCATTTTTTTCATGCAGATTCTCAAAATATCTTATTCGACGTATCATTTCTTAAAAGACTCTTGAAATGAAACGAAAGTATCAGACTGAATGCACAGAGTTTCATTGTCAGTTATATTATGATTTCTTCACGTATATCATCTATATTTAGGTAATGTTCATGTATTCTGACATAGAAAGTAGAGGAATAAATCATTAGTAAAAAAATAATTAATTATATAATTGTTTAATTTTAATTACGATATTTTTTCAGAAATTTTATCATCTTTTGCTTAAATTTTAGCCCAATTGATTTAATTTAATTGATTTAATTTAAAATATTTACATTTGAATAAAAATTGTAATTATAAATGGAATAATAGGTTATATTTTGCACTATTTTTTTATATAATAATTTTGCCAAAAAATTTGGTTTTATATAATTATGCATCATGCATCATATTATATTCCGAAAATTTAGCAAAATTTTATATGGGAAAATGAAGTACCATGCGATAAGCAAATGAGGTATATTAATATTTAGAGAACATTTTTCGATTTTAATTGCGATACGTTCTTGAACTGGTGTATGAAGAAGCAAAATACTAATAATAACTATTGTTTAGTGTACTTTCAAATTTAGCAAATTTTTCATATTTATAATTCTAGAGAGTACACAAAACGTTCTTTCAAAAACATATAGAAGATATAATTGACAATCTGAAATTATTTTGCTTCCAAAGAGCTGGCTTTGAAAAAATTATCCTGGTGTACACAAAAATTGTTTTGGCTATTTTCGTAAAAATATTGCCTGGAATGTTTCGTACAGCATATTTATTCACTTACCTATATTTACTTATCTGTCTAGCTACCTATACAACATCGTGCATTAGTTAAGGAAAGGAGTGGGGGAATTACTCGGTGGTAACTTCGATTCTTCCTTCACTTATTGTCACTGTCAGTTTGCTTGCGATTGTTCGCGAAGCTCGTTCTATTTACATTCTAGCGTTGTTCGGGATGATTCTCTTCTTAGACCTTTATTACATTTATTGTACAACAAATTTCTCAAGAATATTGATTGGTTGCAGGATAATAATTTTTTGAGTTTTTAGAAATTTTTTATTCTGCAGTTAATCAATATGTTTAAAAAATTTGTCATATGACACAAATATAATATCATTACACACGTGTGATTCTTCGTGTCGGTGAAATCGCAGTGTCGTGTATTATTCGAAATTGGAATATTATAAAAAGGTGCTTCGTGTGATGAGGTGTTTTTCATATATACGCAGAAAGCATTAACATTAAACACATGTATGCCAATTATTGAAGATCCTATCTCATCGAAAGAGCAACAAGTAAATGGACATGTCACTTGAAAAATTTGTATCATAAAACTATTCGATTTGATGTGAATTTGCGGAATAATCGGATTTGCAACGCGATTATGGGATAAGTTCGATGTTAAATTGGTATGAGTGAATAAAGTTTATATCTCCACTATTCGTGAAATTTTTTGCCAAAATTTTTGCTATATTACGTGGAAAAAGTATTGTGTGTGAGATTGATGCGTAATAATCGTTGCTTCGAATCCCTTGCATATTTGGAATCCTACATACAAAGGAATCATTGTTTCGAGAATGAAAGCACAGTGATATGTGACATTGATCTCTGAAAATATTAAATTTGTATTTTTTAGTTAAAATAGAACAGAACAGAATGAGAGGGATAAACAGTGTCTTATTTTAATAGCTTATTCTGGAGACAAAATAGAATCAAAAAGTTTTTGTACAAAAATTTTGAGATTACAATAGTTTTTTCGTTATAAATGATTAAAATTTATTAAGAATATTGCGTAGAATTCGCACGTTTAGATTCGTGATTATACAAATGCATGTATCTATTGATTTTTTATAAATTAGGTAATACTAATTTTTACTGCACAACTGATTTTATTGTTTCTTATGCGTGCTATATAAATGATCAGCTAATTAATGAGTTATAAATGTTGTATGTAAAATACTTAATCTTTTATTAAATAACAATTTAATGTACGTCCACGATTAATTGTTATATTTAAATAGAATTATAAACCTAACATTTTTACACACATTTAAGAAACGAGACTTATTATATTTTGGTCAGTAAAATATTTGTGTAAAAATGAATTTATTTGCTGACTATCTTGTAAAAATTAACAAATAATAGATCGGTATATGTAAGCGAAATTATAGACTTTAATACATGAATTTTACATAATATTATTGGCAAACTTTGATCAAGTGACGTTATAGCGTTTTATAATTTTTAATTTGTTGTATTATTGGAAATTACAATTTTTATTGCGCTCTAATTACTGCGTTATTTAAAAAATTTAATAGCTTTTTTTTACTTTGTTGTTTTTTAATGTTTATTAATAATTCAAAAATTATTGTAGCTTCGATATTTTCATTAGAATTTTTGATTTGATTTTACCTTTAGAATGTAAGTTATTAAAATATTGTACGAAGATTGTGAAGCACCCTGCATATTTAAAAGTTTGAAAGGAAAAAAACAAAAAACGAGAAATGTAAAAAGTTTAGCTGAAAAAAGCAAACTTATTAATGGCGGCGAAACAATGATCGTTTCGAAAAATTGGTCGAAAATATAGAAAGAGAAAAAGCGCGAGCAATCGATTTGCTATATAGAGAACACAAATCGCAGTGCTTAAAAGCTTCGATTGCTGTTGATAGAACGACGATATGGAGTTAAAGTGCATATCCGATGTCTGTTTTATATACAAAACGATAGACATGGCATGCGGTGCGTCGCGTTTCGATAAGTGGTAGAGAGAAGAGGTGATAACGAGCGCGTGGGATGATTCGGATTTTTATCCTCATTGAAGAATCTGTAAAAAATAATTGTGATTGTTTATGTAATTTTATTTGATCAACTTATTGCACAATAAAATATTTCTGCGAACATCTGATGTGTGATCTGTCTTATATTAATCAAAATGTAAAGCTAATACAATCACGTCAATTTTGCATGATTTTTCAATAAATCACGTATCGCGTTTATTATATATAACACAATAATATATATATTATCAACAATATTATATAAAAATAAAATACATGTTTCTTTAAATTTTTATTAAATAAAAAAATTCCTTTTATTTAAATAAATCTTTCATAAATGATATAAACTTGGATTAGAAATGAATTTGTGCATTAGTTCTACAAATAAAGCGTGAATAAAATAATAAATAATTATTCATTATCTTTCATTATTATCATAGATTTTTAGATTTATTTCTTTCTTCTTATTTCTTTTTGTTTACTTATTATAATATGTTTTTTTTTTAAATTCCGTTTTCTTAAATTGTTCAAAATTCTTTATATATGTATTAATAAAGTTATTTCCTCTATAATACTATTCACACTTAACAAATTAAATATTTTCAATTTTTCCTTAATTGGGATATTGAATTTTGCACACACACTTTTTATAATTTTGTAAAATGAATTATATACTACATTCATTCGAATATCAAATTCGCAAAAAAATGTTTGCTTTTATATCATAAATGTCATAACTGTAGAACAACTAGTGTAGAACGTTTCTTTTATATTTTAAGAATTGTAATGGCAAAGGACAGTTTGTGTGCAATTATAAAATGTAAAGAAATATATATACTCAATAAAATTTCTTTTTTTTTTAATCCTTTCCTTAATCCAATTTTTTTCTAAAGTATTATAAATAATTATGTTATAATTTGTAAAAGTAACTTTGTAGCTGAATAATTTGTTTAGCTGCAAGTTATAATTGTAGATATAATTATTATATATATTATACAGGAGATTGAAATGTCTGTACGTATGAGATAATAATGTACTATTAGTAATAAAGGTATTATTGTAGTGTACTTCTTACTGTATCATTATTGAAATTATTACTGCGGGAGACATAAATGATAAACATATGTGCGGAAAGAAAGAGTTCGTTATGCTAGAATATTATTGTCAGTTACGTATTGACGGATACGTAATCGTCTCTTTCGATCGCCTCTTTTGCTGCGAGAAACTCTTTTAGTGCTTAGAAACTCTTTGACATTTAATATTTTGAAAATTTATCCGTCTTGAAATAAAAAGTATTTATCTACGATAACAACAACAACGATGTACAATTTCTTTTTATAAAGCTATTATTAAAAAATAAACGATATATACAATGATAATTGAAGAATAGGGAGCTATCGCAGACTAGAATAATGCATATACTTCCAGTGTCATTTGCTCTATTATCTTATACCGGTTATTGGCGACCAGTGCATTTTCCTGTCAATTCATTGAAATATTGGATGTACAATACTTATTCGGTTTTTATGTTTATTTTACTGCAGTCGTTCGTGTTTTATGGTATAGTTGACACTTTTGTTTTATCGGCGAGCCTGGACGAATTCATAGACAAATGTTATCTATTTCTTTCGGTCTTCGGCGTTTCCTGCAAAATTGTGCATCTTTTTATACGTCGTGAAAAGATTATTAATCTGGACATGATGCTGTTGAAAGACAATTGTATTCCCAGAGATATAGAAGAGATACTGATAAAAAAGAAATTTGATCGACACGCTAGGTATGTAATTATTAATTACATTATAGCAAAATTATTTATTAATTGCGAGTAGTTTTCATACACTTGCATGTTGCCGGACAAAAATAAAACGGATTTTTTTCTTTTCTTTATTATTGTTCTTTGCTTTTATTCATAAAATAATTTTTTAAAAGCATAATCATACATAATTTATTTTGATTGGAAGATAATTCTTTCGGTTCTATAAAGATAGAATACCTCTTCTTTCGATTCTATAAAGATAGATTTCCTTCTTTTTTTATTTATTTTATAATAATTATTATCTTTGTAAAATAAAGTGATATTGTGTAATATAAGAAGTTTCAACAAAAAAATATACTTTAATTAATTTATAAGTAATTTATTTAAATATTCGTTTCTAATAACTTAAGAAAATTTGATATATATATATGATATATATTTCTTTCTTTTTTACATTTATTTTAACAGATAATTTATAAATTTGTAGACAGCTTACAATCCTCTGCGAGATCCTTAATGAATCCTGCGCAATATTCGCGACTTTTGCGCAATTTCATACATTTTTGAAGACGCGCAGTTTGCCTGTGTACAATTGGGCGCCTTTTGATCTATCATCAATATATGTCTTCTTGCCTATGTTGATATTCCAATGCGTGACTTTGATGTTATGCGCAAATTCCAGTGTCGCACACGAAACTCTAATTTCCGGTATGATGATCCAGATCTGCGCTCAATTCGAAATTCTGTGTCATCGCGCTCATATGTTACCGACGTTGTTAATGGAAGCGGAGAAGAATAGTAAATCAGACGAAGATCTGGTAGTACGCGAGAAGACCATCATTCGCGATCTGATATATCATCATTTATATGTGTATAAGTGAGTGACAATTAAAAAGATAAAACGAGAATTTTTAAAAATTTTTTATAATTATAAATTTTTTAGTTTTACAATAATAAAAATAAATAAAGAGAATTATCATTTTTTATAATTTGTTAATTATTTTTTTATACGGTTAATAGCTATTAAATCTATCAATTGAATATTACCGTGCTACTTAACTTATCTACTTGATTTAATTAGTTAACATAACTTATAATATACGAAATAAATTATTTAATATTTTATAGAAACAATAATAGAAAATAATCCATATAAAACTGCAGATTTGCGTACATGGTCAATGCAACTTTTACAATGATGATATTCGTCCAATTTTCCTTCATCTCTTTAGTTCTCTGCATGAGCATTTACAAACTGTCTGCAATGAAGTCATTATTTACCCTGGACTTTGCATACACATTTTCTTATTTGTGCTCTATGCTCACGCAAATATTTCTTTATTGCTGGTATGGCAACGAGGTGTCATTAAAGGTAGGAGTTTATTGACATTTAGCCTGATATATTGATATATTGATGCATAACCACATTTATGTTTATTTTTATTTTCTATTTTTTTTAACGCATTGGAAGATATATATTCTATCTTAATTCTTAGAGTTAGAATATATAATAATTCTCCAGTCCTCAGTTATAGAGAATATATAGTATACAGAATATATAGTACATCAAATTAAAGTGATTATCTGAAATTACAATTATTTATGCCATACATTTTATAATCTTTTCTTTAATTATTAATTTTAAACACAAATTCATTTTTTGCTCAGATAAACGATTGAATTATCTAATTGTAAGAGCAGATATTCTTAATTATTAAAGTTTTAAAACTCACTTGTTTCACTCTAATTAGCGATAATAACTGTTTAATAAATACGTAATATTGAACATTAAACATTAATTGAACAACAAATATTTAGCAATTAAAAGAGGAATGGAAATGAGGAAAATAATTTCAGCAATACATAACAAAATTATTAATTAGCACATGTATTAGCTAATTATTAATGTTTGATTAATTTATAGAGTATCGATGTTAGCACTGCTATTTATGAGATGGATTGGACGACATTAAGAATCCGAGTAATGAAAGATCTTATGATTATAATGATGCGTGCTAGCAAACCTGTTAAAATATCAAGTGGTTACATAGTTACTTTAAGCACCGAATCTTTTATGAGCGTTAGTATTATCGAAATTAAATAAAATTAATGTTAATTAAAATTTTAGCAATGACCTAATAAGTGAGTCATCTCTTCTGTTCTATGTAGATTCTCAAACTATCCTATTCGGCGTATAATTTCTTAAAAGACTCTTAAATGGAACGAAAATACCAGGAATGCACAAAATTTCATGTAATGAGATTTCTTCATGTATATTGTCTATTTAAATAATGATCGTGTGTTTTAATATAAAAAAGGATAAAAATAAATAATTAATAAAAAAATGAAAATAAATAATTAATTGTATACTCATTTAATCTTAATTATATCATTCTTTCAAACATTTTATGATCTTTCTTTTTCATTTAAGTTTTAATTCAATTTCATTAGTTAAATTTAAAATTATATATATATATATATATATATATATATATATATATATCTTAGACGTCACTTAGATATTTCTTTGGAGTTGAAAGGATATTTAATAACTAGTAGATAATAATCGAAAACGGCGGAGATCCAGTAAATAATGGAGTGGGAAAAAAAAACAACATTAGTTCCACGACAATTTATAATAAAATTACAAAAGGAGAGATGTTTATATGTAATATTGTAAACACATATATATGAAACACATATGAAACATATATGAAACAGCGTTTAAACGAATTTCTTCAGACTTTTTCCCGTCATTATTCAATATTACATTTATTTCACTTTATGATTGTAAGGATATATACACATGAAGTATCGTTGTAAATAACAATAACTTTCTGTCTCTCTTTTTCTTTTTTTCTCTATAACTCTTTCTTTTTATTTTTCTCCCCTTTGTATTATTTTTTTTCACTCCCTTTCTTTTTTCCTCCTCTCTTTAGATTTTTAAAACTTTTAATCACTGGTGGAATATATTAAGTGCATACCGGATTTTTGTGCGCGTTTTATATATCACAAAACGATAAACATGCGATGTGATGAGTTTCGATAAATGACAGGGAAAAAGTGATAACGAGCGCGTGGAATGATTCAGATTTTTGCCCTCTTTTGCTCATTGAGAAATCAATGATATTTATGTATCCAGGTATTTTTGTTAATAATTTTTCTTCATTTAATTATATCGAGAAATTCTCGTGGACCATGAAATCACTGCCACGAAAAAGTGATTCATGCGTAATATGACATTACAGCGTTTTCTCACTTTTTAATAAATCCTAGAAAATATTATTAGAAGAATATTAAGATAAGTATATATAAGTATATACTGCTATGAATAATTAGTAAATAAAAATAAAGTTAGTATATAAAAAATAAAGTTAGTATATAAAAAATAAGATATATGAATAATTCTCTTTTCAGAATATCTGGATTGATGTAGTGATGGATCATAGGAAGAATATCTAAATATAGGAAGGAGTCTCGCGACGGAACACTTAAATATGAATTCTATTGAATTGACAGGATTCTTTCTTTTAATCTTGATTTATTGAATTGATTCGATTTCACAATGATGGAAACAGCTTTCTTTGGAGTAATGTTTCATCAAGATCCACTGTAACCACCGGGCGAATATCAATATTTCTCAACTCTAACAAGTCATGTATGGACATATGTCTCATGTTTCAAGCTTGCCCGTGCTCTACCAGATCTGACAAGATCTCTGATTAGAATTGCTCGTACTCTCTATGGATTTCGTGCCCTATATCTTTGCTATTCTAGATTACATATTCGTTCTCATCATTATTACTTTGCTTGATGGTCTCTTAGCGATTGCCTCGATTTCGCGACGTGTACATACTGTCAGAACGTGCTTTCATTTTTCTCCTGTCATGATGATTAAAGTCTGTCTAATGATCTATTGATCGATTGAATCTTATGATTGATCCCTAATTGTACACGATTTATATTTCTTACAGTTTTGTGCAATCTCATAAACGCCATTCAAGTTGATATTGACAATCAAAGAGCAAAAAAATCTCTGCTTTATGATATCAATTCTTTAGAAATTTCACATAAGAATTGAAAAATTTATATATTAATTAATTTTGACAAATTCACTAGCAAATTTTTGTAGAATTACACATACATAAATTTTCTTAATTAATTTTTCAAGAAGATTTAAATTTTATTTAAAAATGATCTAATTTTTATATAAACATAATTTTATAATTATTTAATAAATTATATTGATTTATTTTTTTACATATTCAGAGGATTTTTTTTTAATTATTTAAAAAGTATTGATCTCTCTCTTTTTTCTCTTCTTTTAAAATATTTAGATCTTATATCTGCAATATTTTAACTTAATAGATGAATAATTTGTTTGCGTAGAATAATTATCAAAATATTAGAAAAGAGATCGAGTCAAATTAATCAAGAAGTTTATTAGTCTCCCACGTTACACAATTAATATAAAAAGGAATAAATGAAGAAAATGTTTACTTTCGATATTATCACGCACTTTCGCACACGCGATCGTTTCGTACGATATGTATGTTTTCCAAATAACGAATATTTATTTCTTTCGTTCATACATTCTCATTTCCTCTCGATGACTCAGGTATGCAAGCTGTACGACACTTCGATGATTCACTTGTTGAAAACATAACAGCGAACATAAACAGAGGTATTAGAGGTCGTTCTCCTGACTCTGTCTCCTTCATTTACAATGTGTAATAGTAGATATTATATAATTATATAATTATATTATACAGGAGATTATAATGCACGTACATAATGTCTGCACGTACGGAATAATAATGTACTACTAGTAATACAAATATTATTAGTGTGCCTCTCGCTATACCACTATTAAAATTATTGCTGCGGGGGACATAAATGATAAATATATATGCGGAAAGAAAATGCGTTATATTAGAAAATTATTGTCGGTAACGTATACAAGTTGTCTCCTTCGATCGCCTCTTTGTTGCGAGAAATTCTTTTACTTCTGACTTCTAATATTCTGAAAATTTTTCCGTCTTGAGATTAAAGCATTTATCTACGATGACAACAATGTCAACAATATATAATTTCTTTTGATAAAGCTATTATTAAAAAGAAAAAAAATTTCATATACGCAATGACAATGAAAAAATAGAGAGTGCCGCAAACTAGAATAATGCATATACTTCCAGTGTCATTTGCTTTGTTCACTTATACCGGTTATTGGCGACCGGTGCATTTTCCCGTGAACTCGTTGAAATATTGGATGTACAATATTTACTCTACTTTCATGTTTATTTTACTGCAGTTGTTCGTATTTTATGGTATATTTGATACTTTCATATCGGCGAGCCTAGAAGAATTCGTAGACAAGTGTTACCTGTTCCTTTCGATCTTTGGTGTTTCCTGCAAAATCGTGCATCTCTTCATACGTCGGGGAAAGATTATTGATTTGGACAAGATGCTATTGAAGGATAATTGTATTCCCAGAGATGTAGAAGAGAAATTGATAAAAAAGAAATTTGATCGACACGCGAGGTATGCATGATTATTAATTATATTATGGCAAAATTATTTATTAATTGTGCAAATAATTTTTATATATTTGTATTATAACATGCTAACACATGGACAGAATTTACACAGTTTTTTTCTTTTATTCATTTTACTTTCAATCATAAAATAATTTTTTAAAAACATCTCACACATAATTTACCTTGACTGCAAGATACTTCTTTTGACTGATAATTCTATTCTTCCTTTTTCTTTATTCACCTTATAATAATTATCTTTTTTGCAAAAATGAGGCGATATTACAAATTAATATAATTGCATAATATAAACAGTTTAAATTTTTTAATAGTATATTTTGAATAATATTTTGAATAATTTATTTAAATATTTATTTTCAATAATTTAAGGATTGCTCTATATTTACAATAATGTATATGTAATCCTTTTTTATATATATATTTTAACAGATAATTTAAATATATAAATTTGTAGACAGCTAACGATCGGCTGCGAGATTCTCAATGAGTTCACCGCAATATTTGCTACTTTTGCGCAATTTTACAAATCTCTGAAGACGCGCAGCTTGCCTGTGTATAATTGGGCGCCTTTCGAACTATCATCGATATATATATTCTTGCCTATATTGATATTCCAATGCGTGGGTTTGACGTTATGCGCAAATTCCAGTGTTGCACACGAGACGCTAATTTCCGGTATGATGATCCAGATCTGCGCTCAATTCGAAATTCTGTGCCATCGCGCTCATAAATTGCCAGCGTTGTTGATGGAAGCTGAAAAAAATAGTGAGTCAGACGAAGATTTAGCAGCACGCGAGAAGACGATCATTCACGATCTGATATATCATCATCTGTACATTTATAAGTGAGTATTTGTGATAATTAAAAAGATAGAAATGAGAATTTTAATCCTTTATGATTATAAATTATTTAGTTTTTATCAATGATAAAAATATACAAAGAGAGTTATCTGTTTTAATAATTTGTTTATTATTTTTTTACTCGGTTAATAATTAATAAGCTACTTTATTGTGCTAATTTATCCTCGTTTTAATTTATATTTAGTTTATTTAACTTTACGTACAGAATAAATTATTTAATAATTTATAGGAACAATAACAGAAATTTTATTATGTATGTAAAATTGCAGATTTGCACACACGGTTAATGCAGCTTTTACAATGATGATATTCGTCCAATTTTCCCTCATCTCTTTAGTTCTCTGCATGAGCATCTACAAACTATCTACAATGACGTCATTATTTACCCTCGACTTTGCACACACATTTTCTTATCTGTGCTCCATGCTGATGCAATTATTTCTTTATTGCTGGTATGGCAACGAGGTGACATTAAAGGTAGAAGTTTGGTAACATTTTTAGATTGTTGATATATTGATAATCACATTTATATTTATTTACTTTTTATTTTTTTTAATGCATAGGAAGATATAATTTTATTAGTTCTCAGTTAGAATATATAATATTTCAAATTAAAGTGATTATGAAATATATGTATCAATTATTTATCAATTATTTATTTATTTAAGATGATATGAATCTTAATACTTTTCACAATTATTTTAAATGTTCTAATAATTATTATTATATAAGATGATGTAAATCTTAATATTTTTCTTCAATAATCAATTTTAAACATAAATTCATTTTTTCTTCAGAGAAATGATTAAGTAATCTAATAATAGATATTTTTTAATCTTCCAAATTCACTTGTCTCATGCTAATTAGCAGCTTAATAACTGTTTAATAAATATGTAAATTTGAACATTAAGCAACAAATATTTAACAGCTAAAAAAGGGGAAGAAATTGAGAAGGTGATTTCAGAAATAACATTACGTCAAAATTATTGGCACATATATTAGCTAATTAATAGTGATTGTTTTAATTAATTTCTCATAGAGTATCGACGTCAGCACTGCTATCTATGAGATGGATTGGACGACATTAAGAATCCGAGTAATGAAAAATCTTATGATAATAATGATGCGTGCCGGCACACCTATTAAAATGTCGAGTGGCTACATAGTTATCTTAAGCACCGATTCCTTTATGAGCGTTAGTACTTGAAAAAAGATAAAATTAATGTTAAAATTCTAACGGTAATTATCTAATAGGCGAGTCATCTTTTTCATGCAGATTCTCAAAATATCCTATTCGACATATAATTTCTTAAAAGACTCTTAGATGAAAAGAAAATATCAGACTGAATGCACAGAGTTTTATGTAATGTGACTTTTCACGTTTATCTATATTTAGGTAATGTCCATGTATTCTAATATAAAAAGAAGAAAAATAAATAATTAATAAGAAATAGATAAGAAATAGATAGAAATAAATAAATATATAAATTATTTATTTTTATTATTTAGTTTTATTTATTTAATTCATTTAATTTCATTATATAATTTGTTCAAAAATTTTATCATCTTTCTTTTGTTTAAATTTAATTGGATAAATTTAAATAATAATATACGAATGAAAATTTAATAATATTTATATTTAAATTTATTTTTAAATAAATTTAAATAAATTTATATTTAAATAAAAATTGTAATTATAAGTGGAATAATGAGTTATATATTTTGCACTACTTTTCTCATGTTTTTTTATATAATAATTTGTATAATATTATCAAATAATTTGGTTTATATTTAATAACGTATATAGTATTGTCAAAAAGTATGGTAACATTTTATATAAGAAAATGAGGTGCGATAACTAAATGAGATAATTAATATTTAGAGAAATGCATTTTTCGGTTTTAGTAGCAGTACTACATACATGCTTGAAATGTGAAGAGGTAAGATAGAATTTTGTTATTTTGAAATCTTCTATCAATTGGTCATTCTGTATATACATTGCTGCGTAGAACGTTAATTGGTAAATACGTAAACAATTCTGTGGAATATCGTTTCAAAATATCACTTTTGACATTTCTAAATCTCAATTGCAGCATTTTATGCAAATAATGCAAATCTAATAAATTTTATAAGAATATTTAAAATAAATTTTAAATTTCTCTTTCTCTTATAATTTACATTTAATGATTATAATACATTTATATGATTATATATTTATTTATAATATCTCTGAGTCATATTAGAACGAAATGTGAGATATAAACGTAAGTTCCAATTTTTCAGACGTCATTTAGATATTTTTTTTGGAAAGTTAAAAGGATATTTAATGAATGATAGATGATAATGAAAAACGTTGGGGACGTCGAGTGAATAATGGAATGGGAAAAAAAGTAAGAAACAACATTACTTCTCTAACAATTCGTAATGAAACCACAGGAAGAAACTGATATTTATATGTGTAGACGTTGTAAATATACACGAAACAGCATTCAAAGAAATTTCTTCAAACTTTTTCCCGTCATTTATTTCACTTTATGATTGCAAGGATATATACATATGAAGCATCGTTGTAAATAACCATCACTCTTTCTCTAACTCTTTCTCTCTATCTTTTACCTTTCTATTGCTTTTTTTTTACTCCCTTTCTTTTTCTCTTCCTCTGTTATTTCATTTTTGTTTGATGCTTCCGCATAAGATTTCAAGTGAACATACTTGGCATTTATGTCAACAAATTATCAGCTGAATTATTACGCGCGATCTTAGATTTAATTCGCTGAGTAATATTCTCATCGATACTGATGTTCATTTTTTTCTTGATATTTTCCCGCGAACACGTTCTCATCTCACATGCTCATAACTTTATCAACGTCTATCCGAGTTGCTTACATAATGAAACAATATTTGCGGGAAGCGATATTACTGAGCGATCGATGACTGTTTTGATTTACAAGCGTTACATGATCAACCCGATATCACGTTATCCGCTGAACATTTTGTTACATATATCGTTGAAGAGTATCATCACAAATACAAATTGGTTACGATCAATTTTGTTACGGCACTTTGACAGAATGTTATTAATGAATATTAATTAGTGAATAACTTTATGTATTTATTTAGTAACCGAGGCACTATCGATCCTTTAACTAATTACTAAGTATTATCGATTCTTTTAATTAATTAAATTACATTTACATCAAACATAAAAACTGGCTCTTATAATCTTTCGTGACAATTTTAATAAAAATAATATATATAATTGTATAATAATTTTTTTTCTTGTTTTTTGTTTCACTCTTACTTATGAGACCTTTTTCTCCGCAAGAGAAACTACTAAAAATGATCGGCGGATAACATTTTTCTGTTTAGAGACTTACATAAAAAAAATTAACATGAACAAAATATTATTTTATTAATTATCTTGTGCGAATAAAACAACAACCACTGATATAATTAGATAGCGCAAGCGTATCCGATATTGCCGTCATTATTTCAGCAACAATGTCGTCAGAAATAATAAGAATTCCCCCACAAATTCATTAAAGCAATTTAATATTTAATACTAATTTTTAATATTAACATATATATTTACTTGTCTTTTTTTGTATTGTGTACGTGTTTATTTTTATTTAAGTAAATATGTTATTTATAGCGTTAACAAAAAATTACATACTATGATTATAAACAATTATTAAAATAAAATTATCATGAGTACAAGTAAAGAAAAAATTAAAAAAATATTTCTTATTCTTGTTTGTCACGTAACTTTTCAAGAGTGAGAAATCATTATCTTATTTGCGTTTGATTAATTAATTTAAAAATTAATTTGATGAAATATAGTCTTATCATTTCTGACGAAGAAAAAACTATTGTCGCCGTTTATCACAATCTGTCTAACATATTATGATTAGTCTAGAGAACTATGTTTATTCCTAAATAGCGAGTCCAATAGCTCGTAAGTAAATGTATAAACGAAGTGAATTCACGTGCACACTATTCGGCATTTATGGAAATGGACATTATAAACGCAAAGAATTATTTCTCAATTCCTATTCATTTAATACGTCGATATAGATCTGAATCAGTCGTTGCTCTGTAAATTAAACTCACTCGCCATATTACGTAATATCATAGTATAGATGTGTGTTATATATACCATTACTTACGTAAATTCAAAGGATTACATTCGCTATAAGATGCAGAATTGAATGGCAAGGCTAAAATTATATTTTCGAATATTATTTAATTCTTTTCTTAGATAGAGATAATTTACGTGAAATCACTTTTTGTATGATTCTAAGATACTCGTGATATGATCTTAGATCGCGATACTTTATTACATCTTCGCATTCTTTGTTGCTTATAATATTTATTAATCATTTTTCGTTTATTCTACATTAAGCGTTTGCATTAACATTGTTTGTGAAAATAAATTTGCTTGTAATAATGAGAGAGCCAACCTTTCTATTCAATTCTGTTACTTGTATTGGAATTTTATTTATTCTGTATTAGAAAACTCTGTACGAGAAAAGTTGCATAAGCAAATCTTCATAAGGCGACGAGAATCTTTCACACTTGAGAAATTTCCCAAGTACTTTTAATCTCAAATCAAGTTAAAAAGCATAAGGTATATCTAATACGCCAGTTGAGATTGCGCTTTTTTTATTTAAACGCTTTTTTTTATTTATACATAATCGCGACAGATCCGCGAGAATTCGTTATGCTCACATAATTATTAATGATGCATTTGCTTCGTCGCGATTTATTTTAGTTAATGTACACTTAGATTTGTCATTATTTGTATATTATATACTTTGGAGACGAGTCAAGATTGAAAATTTTTATACATAGCTATTTTAAATGATAATGCTCGGAGGTATGATCGCTAAACACTATCGCGTGCTTATATAATAATACTGTACAATTATGTATCAGAGCAAGCATTGCTCGCGATTTTTTCATAATTTCAGAGTACATTTTAAGAAATCTTTATTCTGGACGATAAAATATAAGATTCATATATTGTTTTTTATGTATATCTATTATTTATAAATTATACAAAGGTGGCTAAATGCTACAGGTGCTAAAATAAAATTTTTGATAAAATCGTATATTCATACGTATATTCATCAATCTCATTTTTTTTTGTTTAAATAATATATTAAAATTTATAAATTAAGCACCTATATCATTTAGATACTCATATATAGCTATTTACTTTATATTATAACAAAACCACTTATGATCATAGTTTAAATTTTTGTTTATGTTCTTTGAACGATAAGAAGTCTCACTAATATAAGTAATACACGTATCGGCCAGTTTATGTATTAAAATATACTCTGATTTCTATTTTGATGAATTAAAATCGTGTGAATTTGAATATCTAATGCCGGATTTTTTTATGATTAATTGAACAAAATCGCGAATAATGTTGCATCATTGTCGTTTGATCCTCCGATAGCCCAGGGAAGCGTTTTCGCAAAAATATTCTACGCAGGATCGCTCTCATCATCATCGATTAACTATAATTAATACTAACCGCGAGTGAAATTTCGGTTAATTTTAACTAACATTTACGGCAATGAGCCATATTCGTTAAAAGTGTTTATGAAAGTAACGGCGCACAGCTTGATTGAATCTTGAACAGCTGTGAGAAGAAGCAGTGTTGTGTGGAATATCATTCGTCTAGATGCTGATCGATGCAAAATCGAAGCTGACATGATTTAAACGATATATCTTCAAAATTTTCAAAAACATATTATTAAGAATTATAAAGAACACACATGAGCAAGCCATAAACAATTATATTAGAAAATAAGATACTCGTCCATTTTCTTTGAAGACAGATTGTCCAAGAGAATAGAAAAAAATAAATGCAACATAATAATTGTTAATTTTTCAATATCACATTTAGATATACGAGTAACAGAGTATTCATTTAGTACAATAATACTTAGATTTTTGAGCATCCAGATATCACACAACACCGAGAAAAATGCCGGTAGCGAACGTATATATATATGTATGTATATATATGTACAAATTCACGCATATCCCTCCCTCATTGGATCGCACGCACGTGGCAAAGGAATTAAATCCACTGTCAGCGAAGTCCCCGGGTACCACCGCACAGCATCCTTTTGAATGCCTGCCGAAATTCCGGCGAGAACACAGTGTAAATCACGGGGTTGAGGGTGCTATTGAAGTATCCCAGCCACAAAAACACACTGGCCACGAGCTTGGGCGGCTCGCAGGTCGTGCATATAGCCTGCAGCAGGGCGACCAGGAAGAACGGTAGCCAGCAGGCGACGAAAGCACCGGTGATGATCGCCAGGGTTTTGGCCGCCTTACGCTCGCGCTTCGACTCGATCGTCTCGCGTGTGCGCTTCGTGCACTTGACCACCTGCTGCTGCTGGCTCGTGCTGGTCGGGTTCGTCAACGTCGTCGTCGTGGTCGTCGTCGAGACCGCTGTCGGTGTCACCGTCGCCGACGGCGTCACGTTCGCCCCGTTGTACGACGACGACTTCTCCGGTGAGATCGACGAGTGATCGGGCGTGGATCTCGTGATGGTGAACGCCGTCGACTCCTCTCGCGGCCTAAGGCCAGATAAATCAGAGTTACTTCGGTCGAGAAAGAAAAAGAGGCGCTCGCCGCAATAATGGCGATTTGGTATCGCCGCAATAATGGCGGCTGAGAGCGAGTCAGTGGTATAAGAATCTTTATGAAAAATGCCCTATATAAAATAAAAGTGATGAAAGCGATCTTAAAAGAAGGCTCTATATAAACGTATATATATCCCTTTATTTAATATCGTTTCTTATCACTTCTACTTTATATTTAAATATATTCTTCATAAATAGTGAGATATATCTTTAATTAATAATGAAGGAAAGCAGTTGAAATATGAGAAAAAGATATATAATATGCGAGATGGGTTTATGATTTTTTTATTGTTTTGAAAAAAGATGACTATATAGATAAATTATTTGCCGTTATTTATAAAGCAGGACATAGAAGAGCAGAAAAAGGAAATAGAAAAATATGGCATACTTATTTGAAATAAATAATTACACCCATTGTTTCAAAGAATATTTTTAAAGCACATATACATATACATATATAGTTATACATATATGGTATTAATTATAATTTAATTTGCAAGGGGATTTTTATGATAAATTAATGCTTACAATACCAAGCACAATCTATTTTAAAGGCGACAGAGCTTAAAAATACGCAATTATTAAGCAGCGATAATATCCTTTTTACGATACATCAACAGGTAAACTCATACCTTTGTGTTCGGAGCAAAGACCTTCACTTCACTGGCCATTGAGATAAAAACGCTTAAAATATGCTAATTCTCTTGAGAAAAAACTGCGCGTTAAACATATTTATTTGTAAATTAAATTATGAGCCCTCTGTAAAAAATGTGTCCTTAGCAAGACTTAGGGAAGCGGACTAAATCTCATAAAGGATTTACGCCATTTCTCAACTCGTTTGCGAGAATTATTCCACGTGGCTTTAGCGCGTTGTTAGACCCTCAAGTTTATTGCAACTATGAAAAATGCAACTGTATACAAAATTGCAATCATGAAATATGTCTGATTTTTGTTTGAGATCTAAAAAAATAATCTTTGAGTCTTGTGGGAAAAAAGAAGGCAAGAAATCTACAATTACCTCCTCGTGACGAGCCTGAGGATGCCTCTTCTTTCACGCGGCGGCTGAAGAATAGTACCGGGCCTCTTCCTGATCCTTTTTCGCGCCGCTTGAAATATCCTCCAGTACAGGAATAAGATGACCAGGAGCGGAAGATAGAACGTCGCGCAAGTTGCAAAGATCTGCGAGGTAATTCATATATATATATATATTTTCTTTTCAGGATAATGTATGCAAAGTATATCGTAAAAAAAATATATATATTTTAACATATAAATTTTTTTAAACAATTTCATCGATTATTTTTGCAATTCGCGAACATAATCAATTATTTTGGACCCGCTTGTAATTCTTCGGAAGCGCTTACCTGATATGCGGTGTCCTGCGATACGAGACACGTCCCTTGGGCTATGCGGTCCAAATAATCAGGATCCTTCCATCCGAGCTGAGGCGCTAATGAGATTCCTAAGGATATCACCCATACAGCGATGATTAGGATGCCGATTCTTCTCGGATTCCTCGCCTTAAAATAGAAGAGCCGCTCTTAATGAGACTTACTGTTGATCATTTCAGAATAAATTTTTCTGAAGTTCTAATGCATTGATTTTTACATTATTAAACACCGTTTAAATATTCATGATACAGTTTCCGTTTATTCTTTAGGTAGTCGGTATACAAAGTGTACATTTCATATCGTTACAAATATTCTCATTGTACACTACATTTTATTACATCTCTCAGAAAACTCAGAAATTTAAATAAGTCATGAAAACTTGATCGTTATTAAATAATGGAGACATCTTATCAGCCGGATAGATTTTATATCTTCTACAAGACTTCATACATTATTATAAGAACGCTGTCTTGTATCAGAAAATTAAACTTTTAATTAGATGTGTTTCGTAAAGTTTTTTTTTCTTAAAAAAAGAAAGAAAAAGAGAGGAGCAAGCATATTAGCCCGCATATTAGCTCGTTCTAGGAAATTACGGTGTCTACTTTATCAAATATTTCTCTTTAGTCGACACATGACTCAAGCTAATTCCTGGCTCGTTCCATTATTTATAACGTAATCGACCCGCTACCTGAGGGACCAATACACAGTCTCTTTCTGTCAGCTGGGAAATGCAAGTTAGCCTTTAAGTTCAACCAGGCTGTCCGTTGCGTAGCTTATCGAGCTCTAAGTTAATTTCAAACTAACTCTAAGCTCTTCTCTGAAGGAGAGAAAGAGCGCGCACCGAGAATATTATATACTCGTCTCTCATCCCGGTTAAACTATATTTATGAACGGGAAGTTCTGACCGTTTCGTTTTACGATCTTACTCTTTTTAATACTTCATGAGCAGCGTTTCCTATAATTCTTGTTACATCCATGAACGTGAGCAAATAAGAAAGAGAGCGAAAGAGAGAGAGAGAGAGAGAGAGAAAGAGAGAGAGAAAGAGAGAGAGAGAAAAACTGGAATTTGTTTTAGCGCAATTTTCAACGAAAATTTATATGATTTATTGGACTATATTTACACGTATATCTATAAAATAGTAAATGTATCCGAGTAAATGTATATTAAAATATGTTTTTCGCAGAACTTTAATATGAAAAATTGGTTTTTTAAATTTTATCTTCAATATACTAAATGAAATAAACAACATTTAATCGTGTTTCAGATTAATAAAATGTTAAAATGCAATGAATATGCAGAAAATTAAATTTTTGTGTATATATATATGTGCAGTTATATAAAATATAGATGTAGATTTTTTAACAAATACGAATGGATTAATCATTTTTTATGTATTATACAATTATTATTATTATTATTTCCTTATATTAAACAGAAAGAAATATTATGATGTAATGCATGAAGCTTCTCGCGTGTCAGATTCTGTTTTATGTACACTATTTTCGAATTGATAAAATAGTATTTTCTCGCATCATACAATGGTCTCCCTATTTAAGAGCTCCACGATAGGATTTGCAGTTCCATGCGATCAACGCCCACGCGACTCTCTTTCCATCTCGTCGACGTGACGAGAATGTAAATGACAGCGAATAACGAAGACTGTATCACTCGCATCGGACAATTTCCGACTTCCTCTTGATAACCGCAACGGCGTTAATTAACCTGTATATAATTGATATTGGTGACTGCCCAATATCTGTCGACCGCGATAGCCACCAGATGCAATATCGAGGCTGTGCAACATAGAACGTCGCTGCTGGTCCACATGTCGCAGAGCTCCGGACCGAGTGACCATCCTGAGTTTATCTGCAATAAACAGAATTATCTATCATAGAGCGTGAGCTTAGCGCGGTCTGAGAGCAGATAATCGATGTGGCCGCGGAAATCGCAAGATTTGCTCCAAAGTGTTTCGAAATAAGATAAGCGCATTGAAGAGAAGAAGCGTTCAGTAAATCTGCTTATTCTTTCGTTTTATTATTTTTATGAAAACAATGTAAATATATATTTATAACATTTAAAATATGGCACAATATTAGTATAATTAAATAATTTATATAAGCAAATAAATTAATTAAACAAATTAATTAAAGTAAATTAAATTTATTTATTTTTAATTAAAATAAATTAAAATAAAAAACTATTTATTGACGTTTTTAACCTTAAATTTATTTATTAATTAAATTAATAAATTAATTACATAAATAAATTTATTTTTTAATTATTATATGAAATATGAAGAAATTAAAATACAATAATATTAATAAGCAAGAAAACTCTATAGATTAATTTTATTAATTTTATTTATTAGCTTTTTTTCTAGTATTATTTTTTCTCTAGTATTATTCTAGTATTATTCTAGTATTTTCTTCTAGTATTATTTTTTTTCTAGTATTATTTTTCTAGTATTATTTCGCATACTTATATATAGTACTTTCAAAAATATTATTTATCTATAATTCAATTCTATCAATTTTTACACACATAGCATACACAGGACACATGACGATGGTGAAAATAAGTGGAATTTATTTTTAGCAGCGCTAATAAGAATTACTCGATTGATTAATATGTTAAGGATTGTACATAGTTTGGCGTGACACTTGGCTGCGCAATAGGGAGAAAATACGGATCGAGGGTCTAAAGGGAAAACATCCGAGCTATGGCCGATGGAGGGACGACGGCGAGTACGGAAAGAGAACCGGTGAGAAAGACTGATGTTATAGAAGAGAACGGAGGAGGAAAGTCTGATGCATGCCTGCTTAAAAGTCCATTCATGGTATTGGAATCTATCTTCGAAAGCCAATCGCGTCTCTTGTCCTCCTTTCGGCACGGCGGCCTCTCTCTGTCCATAGACGTCCGTTCCTTTATACTTTGAGATCAGAACATTCCGGAAGTCGATGAGTCTCATCCATCTTGTCGGAAGTATAAACACCTCTCAAAAATAGTATCAATTGTACGGGAGTCGACAGAGGAGCAGTTTTAGATCGCTTAAGATTCGCGATAAAAGGAGCACAATTTATTCTGTGCTATAGTGATATCATTTATAATTTATTTACTTGGAATATATTTATTAATTATTTATATATTTATATATACATTAAATTTTACAAGTTTTTTGCTTTTATCGTGTATTTTTAATTGATATCTATATTTAAATCTTACATATATGTGATAACATTATAAAATCAAAGATTAAAATGAATTAAATATAAATATAAAAATGATAAAATGAATAAATAAAATGTATAAAATATAAAAGGTATAAAAAATATATTTAAAATATTTTGTTATCTTCTCTTCATTTTATAAGAGAATAAACATTTTTGCAATTAATTGATTAATAATAATAGTAGATATTATTAATTAGATAATATTATTAATAATAATAATAGTAAATACCATTATTAATAATAAAGTAGATATTATAATAATAATAATAATAATAGCAAATTCCTAACGCTTAGAGCACAATTTTGTTTATATTAACCGTTTTTTTAGAGCCTGCAGAATCTAATCAAGCGTTGCATTGTGTATGTACACGTGCAGTTAATGAAGTCATTTTGTGTGCACATTTCTGGTATCTGCGGGCAAACGTCGGGCGAAAGAGAAAGGGCTGTAAAATGGACATCCATCAAATATTCGAATTAAACGGCAGATGCATAAATTTCTATGTGTCTGTATTAAAGAGATGGGTGTGCGATGGATATTCCATTTAACCAGTACGCTGTAAAAGCTAATACGTCTGCTGTTGGCTGAATGGCGGTCGAAATAAAATAGCTCCATTAAATAATAACATGCGTAAGATACGCTGACAATAGGAAGAAGACAGACTTAAAAAGGTAGGAAAAAAGATAAGAGAGAAGAAACAAAGGAAAATCATTTTATGCTGCTGAGAAAGAAGAATCAGGTGGGTTTCGAAAAATATGGCGAGAGTGTGAAAATATAATGTATAGAAAAAGTGAAATGGGAAGGAAATGCTGATGTAGGATACATGCAGGAGCTCGCAGTGAGATACGAGAAGAAAATGAAAGAACTAAATAAGGAAGTACCTTAGTGAAAAGATTCTGCGCGCATGAGAAGGAATAATGCGCGTATTGAAGTGAAATTAATCTATAGAAGAAGAAGGGAAGCGCGAGGAAATTTTTTTTACGTCGATTCTAATTAAATTTGCATCATCGATACGGATTATTTTTGTATATATTCTTGGTTGGCAAATTTTATCGCGTATATATTTTAAAAGCTAAATATTTCGAGTTAACTTTAAAAGCGGAAACGCGCGTATTAAAGGTAAATTATATAAAATATAGTGAAGTGGAAAGAGGGGGTCGAGCGTTTTATCGCAATCTCTCGTGGCAATTTCCGATGAAATCTTTGTTAATTGGATAACGCGTGGAAACGTAGCGCGAAGTGGTAATTAATGCCTACGTTATTCTTGTTCCATTCTCATTTGTATATTGGCGTTTATCAAGTATAAATGTGCACGGCATAGCAAATGTAACGAACTTCGCTAGGGTAGAATCGAAAGCTAATCATTCGTACGTACATACATATATCTGTCGCTCGTTATCTCCATATGTGTATGTATGTATTACTCGCCCTTAGTTCTCGAATATGTATGTGTATTTTAATTGTTAATTTGTAACAACACGTTTTTCATTGCTCGCATTTGCACCGGGTACGTAGAAAGAGATGCTTCTCGATAGAGAAAACTGTTTTAGCTTTTAAAAGTTGCAGATCACGATCACGATATGGCGCAGTAAATTTAAGAATATGACATTTTTTTTTATACAAAATGTACATCGTATTCCCGAAATGGAAAATTTTCAAAGTCGACTTTTCTATTTCTGGAATATATATTGAAATTTCGCGTGTATGCTGTTTTCAATTTTTCAGAGTGTAACATCGAATTTTTATTTTAATTTACATGATAAAAAGCGAGCTTTCTCGCAAATTATCTCATCATAATTATTGCACGTAGTCTATTACAAAATTTATCGCGATTTTCGCGATTTCAATTTTTTTACGTTGATAAACTATTGTTAAATTTTTCTTCGTAATTTGTACGTTCCGCATTTACGTTATTGAAGTTCTGCGAGAAAATTTTATAAAGCTTTTAAACGCAGTTGATGCATTGTGTTTACTTGGTTCTTGGTACTTTTTTTCGCAATCAGTGTAAAATACGTAATTGATAAATTCTCTAAAATAATTTAGCGTTTAAATGCCAAATTCTCGGAGGATGCATTTTCTCACGCGGCTTTTTTCTCCAGATACAATGTCCATGCGATATAAAGCCGCGGAAAAGGTAAGAATGCGTACACGGTTTCTTACGAATGTTATAAACCTGTGAATGGCTGCAACGGACCATAGATGAAAATTTAACAATGAAAATGTAACGCCCGTAGAGAGAATGATCCTCCATGTGTTAAACTTGACTGTTTCGCTGAAAATTTGGTACAAAAATTTTACCTCGTAAATGTAGGTTGCCATAAAATGCAATAAAATTGTGATACACGTGCTTTACGACATAACTATCTTGTCGTAGATATTGTAAATTAATCGTTTAATCTCGCGAATCTAGAGCGCCTGTTAATTCATTCATTTTTTACACAAGTTAGCTGAAATTAAATTTTATTATAATTTTATCGTGTAATCTTACGGATCAGATGTATGCAAATATTTGAATATTTCTTTTGACTTTTGGGATGAATATCTTTGTATTGATATAGTTGTTCATGCACTGACAATGTCAGTGAAAACGCGAATTATTTTCTCCTCGTGAATATCGTGCGGTTTTATATTCTCGTATATCCAACACTAAAAACTTCATTGCGCATGTTTCCTTATCACACAGTTTAATGCGAAATAGATTGCACGGCAATAACTTGCAGTCTTCTTTAATAAAAGTATAATAAGTTACGTACCTCATAAACAGCTCCAAGAGGCATAACAAGACAGGCGACCATAAGATCCGCGACAGCCAAACTGACGATTAAATAATTTGCTACGGATTGCAAATTTCTCTCTAATACGATAGCTGCTATTACGAATAGATTCCCTGTAACATAAACGTAATCGTCGTGAATGGTATCTGCGTAATTCATTTGAAATAATATTATATGTAATGAAATATTATATATGTGTATAATGAAATATTATACATGATATTATTCTGTTCATGTTAAATGCGTAGATGCAGATAATAAATACAGCCTGAATTATGGAATTATATTACATATTTATATTATTATGAAAATAGTGATGTTTTTCTCTTTAAAAAAAAACAAATATATCTTGTATTTCGTTGACACAGTTTTTAAATTAAAACTAATCATTTTTTAAAAATTGAATTGAACATTTCGAGTCATATTTATATTGCTTGAAGCATTTGCTTGGATCCATATTGCATTTTCAGTGCTTTAAATATTATATTGGATGTTTCATGTATATACAATTTGAGAAATATGTATTATAATTTCTTTCTATGATGTATATGTTATGCTAGGCATGTTTTCTACTTTTTTTACTTGCATGTTTCTTTACGTGAAGGTGAAAATATTTAGAATGTATACTCGTACATTTAGAAATTTATACATCACAATTCTTGATTAAGAAATAATACATTTTCAATGTTTAGTGCAATAAAATTAAGTATATGTAATCGATATCGTTAAAGTTATTGTCGATTTTCATGTCAAATGTTGATGGTTCTTAAAAGAAAGTATTAAATATATCGAACATATGTATATAGTCTAATAAATCATTCAACTTATTTTCTACAGTTATATACAGTTTATTATGTTAATTATATAATTATTTTTATGAATATATATATATATATATGTATTTTTTTCTTTTCTATAATTATATAAGTGTTATGAGTTGAATTATTTGTAATTAGATAGGCAAATATTTAAACGCTTAAGTCTCAAATATTCTCAATTTTGTGTGAGAAAACATGCAAGAAAAAAATATATATACATCATAGGGAAAAATTATATTTTTTAAATTAAATTAAGAAAAAGGAAATCTTAAATTAAGAAATTCTAAATTAAACACTTTCTTAATAAAAAATATATACATATATTTTTTAAATTGTATTTACATGCAATATTAATATAATATTAATATGATATAATATATATATATATATATATATATATATATTTCAAATATTATATTAATTGCATGTTGTATGCAATTGGAATAAATAAATAAATATATATATATATATATTTATTTATTTATTTTATATAATATATATTTATTTATTTATATAATAAATAAATAAATATATATTTATTTATTTATTATAATTGCACATATATAGGCTACGGTCGGGAAGACGCTCCGAATGTTTTGGAGCGTTTGATTGACCAATCAGATTAAAAAAAAATCTTTTGTCCTGATTGGTCAATCAAACGCAGAAATAATTATATACCGCTAGGGAGTTATGTGGCATTGCGCGTAATCGCCAAAATCGCAGTCACGTGACTGAATTTTGAACCGACCTGTTAAGCTAGGTATGAAGATAGCCGCTTGAAGTTGCGCGAGGTCAGTGTGCAATCAAATCGCGATCACTTCGTGTTTTCGCGTCTTTTAATCCGTCCCGGGCAAGTTTCATATCCGGACGAACGTCGAGAATGTTAATTCTAGTGACAGGTGATAATCTCAGTGCATTAATCGGTTTGTGCGACCGCGATTAACCGCGTTACTCGGTTTGCGTGACCGTCGCATTCCGCATTCCATCGGAAAACTGCACCGTTTTTCTATTTCCTCGCTTGAAGGTAACCATTTCTAGAGTCAATAGCTAAATGCATCGTGTCTAATTATATTTTTACGTCATGACTGTCAAGACTCAAGAAATATTTACGCATAATATGTTTATATATATTTATGCATATAAATATACAGGGTGTCCCAAAAAGTCCCGAACCGGTCGAATATTTCATAAACTATGCACTTTAAAAAGAAATGTTTCAGACAAAAGTTATATGGCTTGAAGGAGGCCATCAGATAATGGCAATGATTTGATGGGAGAGTCATTTGAAAGTCACGTGAAGATCACTGCCAATTTCTTAAATGGAACTCCTTATTTTTTATTACATATTCGTGTAATTTATCTCGAGAGCTTTCCAAAACACTATAATAAAGTATTTCCTCATTGAGTACTTTTCGAGTTATGAGGCTTGAAATCATTTCTTAATTTTGCATAAACCATAAAATCTAGTAAATCTAGTAAATCTAGTAAATCTAGTAAAATATTCATTTTTCGATTGTCTTACCTTAATAATTTTATGTACAAAATAATGAGAGGAATCAATTGGTGTAAAGAAAACACTTAGTTATTTAAAAAAAAAATATGTAATGTTAATTGCAAATTATATATTTTTTTCTTAAAAGCAACTATGTTTTAAGAAAATAATTGATTTACACCAATTGATTTCTCTCATTATTTTGTACATAAAAGTATTACGGTAAGATAATCGAAAAATGAATATTTTACAAGATATTTTACGGTTTATGTAAAATTAAGAAATGATTTCAAGCCTTTTAATTCGGAAAGTATTAATGAAAACTAACTTAATTATAGTGTTTTGGAAAGCTCTCGAGATAAGCTACACGAATATGTAATAAAAAATTGGAAGTTCTATTTAAGAAATTGACGGTGATCTTCACGTAATTTTCAAATGACTCTCCCATGTCAATTCATTGCCACTATTTGATGGTCCCCTTTAAGTCATATAACTTTTGTCTGAAACATTTCTTTCTAAAGTGCATAGTTTATGAAATATTCGACCAGTCCGGGTCTTTTGGGACATCCTGTATACTATTATTTATATACACATATATGAATATATATGAACATACATTAATTATGTAAATATTACTTGATACAACATGATGCGCAAATAATTAGACGCGATGCGTCTAGCTATTGTTGGCCCCGGAAGCGGCTATCTTCAGGCGAGCAGGCATTAATGACACCGAGTGTACATTCGTCCGACAAGCCGTGTTGTTTAGCATTCGGGTTATCGAGAAGCATCGAGGAGCATCGAGGAATTTCGTCGCCACGATTTCATCGATATAAGCGATCGCGCTTGTCCACGATATTTGCCTACCAAATATCGCGCGTTCGCCATGATGGCGTTTTGAATTTTCGCAAAGTGTCGGTAGAGATCTTTTAAGAATATAGATACTGGTGATTTTGTGCTGATTGGTGGAACGATTTTATGGCGAAATCAATAAAAAGTTCTTATATTTGACGCCATTATTTAATATAATTAATAGTAAAATCTTTTTGATTTAATTTTTAATATAATATTTTTGAGAAGCTTTTATATATTTCTACAATCTTCATAAAATTAAAGATTTTTTTATGTAGGAAAATATTAATAGAAAGAAAAACTGAAGGTATTTAATAGTAAATATTCAGACATATTTAAATTTAAAATTTTTTATAAAGCTAAATATTGGAAAATCCATATATAAGGTTCTTTATTCTGGATTTGTAGAAAATATTCTCATGGAAAATCTATTATTACTTAAATTTTGTTGCAACCAGTTACAGTGCTATTTTTTAAATAACTTTATAAATATTAATAAATAAAGAAAAAAGATCTCTAGTCGGTAGTGCCACGTGAATTTATAGTTGACAATGTAAAAATCAAATAATTTTAATTGATTCGCTCGATTGGTGTTATTATTATTGGTATTATCTATTAATCGATATCGATTATTCGAATTAATGTGTTAAAATGCGCAAAGTATTATTTAACGTGTGTTATCGCGTATTGTTATGTGTAAATCGTCAGTGCATCATCATTACATAAAGGCTCATCGCGGAATGGAATTAACTGTATTGAATTAATCAGGAGGAGCAGCTCATCTAAGGTATTTGGTTGAATATTATTTTATAATTATCTCAATCTTTTTATCACGCAGTGTAGAATTTGCCCAGAGGCAGGAGACTAAAGATATCTTCCTCTTTCTGATTTCGAATAACAAATAAAATTGTTTAAAGTGATCTAAAATTATAAAAGAAGATTTAAAAACTTTTGAACTTTTAATGAAAGGAGGAAAAAAAGAACACATTTTAAGATTAAATTTTCAAAATCTACATGAAAGCAATCAAAACTGTAACTGCCGTAACTTATACACAGAAAAAAATAAGTGTCAAATCAAAACTTATATACTTAAATTAACGCGTTTATTGTTTCAAATATACGCAACAATTTATAATCTTCTTAGAAGAATTTAATAATTTTAAATTTCAACAATATTACAGTCTTATTTTAATATTGCAATTGTTATCTCAAGAATATATAAATATTTAATTTAAATATTTAAATATTTAATTACAATTATTATAAATATTTAATTCTACTTTAAGAAAATTATAATTTTTGATTTAAAAATGTTATTTTTTATCTAACATTATTTCCTTTCCACTCAAGAAAATTAAATCTTAAATTATAAGAATATATTTTTCTTGATTGAACTATATAAAATGGCTTTATTCTCGCAAATAATTATACAAACAATTACATTTTTCCTTAATTAACGCAATATAATATCATTTCAAGGTTTTCATGTTAAAACGAAAGATATTTTCGAAACAAGAATGTTCTTTTTTTCTATGTATGAAATATGTATATATATATACAGAAAAAAAGGACATTCTTGTTTTGAAAATATTTTTAGTTTTAACATGGAAATCTTGAAATGAGATTATATTGCGTTAATTAAAGAAAAATATAATTGCTTGAATAATTGCTTACTTGAATGAAGCCATTTTATATATTTCAATCAAGAAAAATATATTCTTATGATTTCAAATTTAATTTTCTTGAATGGAAAAGAAACAATGTTGGATAGAAAATAACATTTTTAAATCAAAGATTATAATTTTCTTAAGGTAGAATTAAATAATTATATATTCTTAAGGTGACAATTACAATATTAAAATAAGACTGTAATATTGTTGAAATTAAAAATTATTAAATTCTTCTAAGAAGATTATAAATTGTTTCGTATATATGAAACAAAATGAACGCG